TCCTGTTTCAGAAACCTGGCATTGCTCTGCGACTCACTGAATACTGAATTTCTAGGAAAACAGAAGCTAATATGCTTTTTACTATTAAGAGGTATGAAGAAACAGAATTCCGTAGGACTGGTAAAGCTTCGTTTGCCCAAACAGACAAACTATAACCTTGAAGTTTTTTTCCTCTGTCTAGGCAAGTGTAGCAATTTAGTCCTTAAAAGACATCTCTTGGTACATTAGTAATCCTAAATGAGAGAATTGCAAAATCCCTCAGTTGAGGTAGAGGGAGTAACTGCTCTATTTCTACTTCTGAGAAGAATTTTGTATAAGGTATGTAGTTAATGTTCTTTATAAAAGTTAACATTTATTGCAAGTGATAACTTGATAATCTCAGTTCTGAGGGCCTTTGAATGGTACTTCTGTAATACAGCTTTATCTTACTTGCAGTTCTTTATCATCACATGAGCAAAAAATGTGTTGGCAGCTTATTACAGAATACAGATAAACTCATAATTTCTAGATAAAGTCCAGGTATTTATGTATTGTAAGCATAAATAATTGTACAACTCAAAGATGAACATAGCTCTGAAAATATTTTTACTGTAGGGAAATAGAAATTATAGGGAAACCTATTAAACTCACTTCTGTTTCTGCATACCTGAGTATTCTTTACTCATATCTGGTTTAACAGTTGCCTTTTGAGGGTTTTGGGTGGTGATGTGTGTTTGGGGTTTTTGTTTTGGTTGGTTGGTTTCTTGTTTGTTTTGTGGGTTTTTTTGTTTTGCTTTGGGTTTCTCTTTTTCTCCCATTGATCTATATGCTGTGAGGTCTACATATGGCATGGAAGAAGGGATACAACAGAAATTAACTGAGACCTGGAATGCTTTCAAAAATAGAAGTTAAAGAGAAACCCCTAAAATCAAATTTTTATTCATTGCCGTCTAAGTAAGAGAGGTGTCCTGACTTTTTTTAGTTCTTGTCCCACAGGTAGCCCTAAAAATTTGACTGAAGAAAATACAAGCTAGCTAACAGTTGTTTCCCAACAATTGTGATATAAATAAAAAAATACTCCAATGTTCTCTCATATAACCTCAAATTGTACTTTATTTACAGACTTTTTCTTCAGTTACCAAGTACAAGAATATATTACAGCTGTATCAAATGTTGGAGCCAACCTTAACAAAAGTGATTGAGACCTAAAAATAGTACTACTTAGAAGTAAATTTCGCATCTTGTATATGAAAGTGTAGCTTTCCTTAATGTCAGAATAGATCAGTCTTACTGTTTTGGATACACTTGTTCCAATAATATTGGAACAGTAGGTTAAGAACTGTTTATTTGGAAAGCCTGTGCAGATTGTGACTATTCAGTCCTTCATAAGTTATAGAAATTAAAACATTTTGAGAAATGTTAGTGTTCCAAATACTGTTTAGGAAAAACTAGTATTGTGAGCTAACTGTATGCGAAAGTGACCTTTATGTGAAAATCTGATGACTAACAAGCTAAATAAAACTCCTTGTTATTCTTAAGTTCTAGTGTAAAGAGCCAAATGTAGACGTGCTTTCTCATGCCTGTCTCAAGGCTGTGCCCCCTGTCAACTATTTTCCTTTGAATGAGTCAAATGGGGATGCAGAAAACTTTGGGAACTATTTACATGGGAGCAAGTAGGAGCTCAGGATAAAAAGTTAGGACCCTTGCTCTTTTAGCATCTTTTTCATTCTTAAGTTTTTCTTTGAAATATGTTGTTCTTTGAGGCAATTACAGCTTCTGCTGTAAAGCTGGTTGTTAAGAAGCTCTGCTTCTTGATGAGGTAATACCTATTTTTAGAAGGAATCGAAGTGGTTCCAAAAGACAAATTTATTCCTAATACCTGGGTGTATCCTTTATAAGGGTTTTATTTATCCTTTTGCGTTACTTGGCCAGTTTTGTGTGAGTTTGAGACTTCCCCATATTCTAGAGCAATTTGGTTTGATTTTCAGACCCTAGATATTGGCAGGATGTCCAGATCTAAGCTGCCTGGTAACTGAAGAATTCTAGGGACATCTCTTCTACTAGGCAGTTTATGGGCATCTCCTGTTTTTGATATGGGAATGTTTCAGGTTTGACAAAAGAATCAAATAGATATTTTACCTAAAGTAACATAAGGATGACTGGAAGCTAAAAGGAACACGCCCGTTATTGGTGTGTGAGTGGATATGTGAATTGGGGATGGGAACTTGGCAAAAAAACCTGTATGTTTCTGGGGAGTTCCTTTCACAGCCAGTAGCAGAGCATGATTAGGTTGTTGTCGCACTTGTATCTGTCACTCCTCTGGCCAGTCAGATTGGTGCCAGGGGACCAAAAGCTTCAGGCAGAGTGGTTTTTGTCTTTCTCACCAGTAGAGTTGCTAATTTCTTTTAGAATATAGGAAAAACAGGTTGAAAAGGTACTATAAAGGGAAGCACTTCTGTTCTTACAGATCACTGATCAGATGATATGTAGCACCTTGAACTACCCGCATAAACAAACTTGACCACAGTATGCACTCTGCTTGAAATAATCTTGATGAGTCATCAGAAGTGGTAGATCAATATGCCTTACAATCCTTTTAAAAGTACCAGGAAGGAACACAATTTTTTCCTGCAAGCTGTAGCTGTAATTGCTCTGCTTAATAAGTTATTGAGTTTTTATCAAAACATGAGTACCGCTCTGCTTTTTAGGTTCTTAGGTTGTTGTTCATCTGTACTTCAGATGCTTTTTGATCTTTAGGGCTTATGTGGATGTCATTAAACATCTGAAAATAAAATATTTTTACTTATGTTACTAGTGGTGTTAGGTATTTGTTGGGAAGCGATGGAAATAACTGAGGTTACTACTTATTGTGATGTTCTCGGTAAATGCGTAATTCTAATAATGTTTCAACTGCACAGGATATAAAACTTAGCAAGTTTTGCTGATCTCTGCTAGACATATGTTGAAGTAGAGTCTTGACTTACTGGTGAATGCTAGGTAGAAATATTACAAAATGTAAACAATTAGGCTGATTTATTTTTTTATATGTATAATGTTGCTTAAGTATTCTGTCATGTGCTTAACTTTAGTAGATGGGGGGAATAGAAGAGAGTGTTAAGAAAAGAACTTGAGAAAGCTAACATGTTGTTCTACCACAGTTTTAAATAAGGCTATTTCTTTTGCAGATGCTCTAAAAGAATATTTTTAGTTGAAGGAAACATCAGAGAGGTCATTGCCTGGCTGCTGGGTTAAACGTTCCCTTTTCTTAGACATGCAGAGCTCACAGCATGGTTGCTGGGGGAGGGGGAACGGACGACATCCAAAATCACCGTTTGTTTTCTTGGTTGTTAGTTTGGGTGTGTTGTGTGTGTATAGTTTTCGTAGACTTGTTGATCAGGAATTTTTAAAAGGTCAGCTAATGACAGTGGATTTCAGAAACACTGTTGAGGGGTAAATTTAGAAATGGTTCTTGGCTATTTTAGTATTATTTGTATGAATCTCACATGTTTGGGCTCTGAACTTCTACCTGTTCCCTCTATCAGTGGTAAGAGCAGCAGCTAGGAAATCAGTGGTATTTGCATGCTGACCATGTTAAATGTCTTCTCTATTTGGAGGGATGAGGTGGGAGGGACCAAAACACAATCACTTGACTTTCCAGGCTGTTCTGGTTTTAGATTGTCCTTGCTATCAGGAGGTCAGTTACTGGGCAGGTTTTTCCTAAACTGGTTGTTTTTTTCTTAAGCCAAGTTCTGGGATGTATGGTTAGGGAGACTGGCAGCTCTAGCTGTCATCATGATGACTTAATTGTACTTAAAGCATGGCAAACTGGCAACCGATGCTGGCATGCAGAGACCTGAGGAGCTAGCAGTGCTGAACTTGTCTTAGAGGAACCACTAAAAAAAAAAAAAAAGGGAATTACCATTTACTGGTAGATAGGGAACATTTTTTACATGGTAATACTGCTTTTGTCATAGGAGCTGAACAGAGTAAGAAAAAATACCTCAGAGCTATGGTGAGTAAGTGGTTTTACAGAACTCTAAAGATGGGGAGAGTGGTCTTTATTTTGACTAGAGCAATGTTAGTTCCTTAGAGCTGAACTGCATTCTTTTCTCTGTGTAGAAAATGCTGTTATAAAACATATGCATTTACTGTTTTGGTTTTTTTAAATCTAATGAGATTTTACTGAATTGATGAATGTAGCCTTAAATAGATCCTGTGCAGTTATAAGTCTTGCTATTTGTTCCTGTTTTAAAAAAAATTATCTAAAAAGATTTAATTTTTTTAAAGTAGCTGCAGAACAAATACAAATTCATTTGTGGCCTATTCTACATATAGGGTACCATAACTAAGAATCTAATCCAGAGGTATATTTCTCAGTTCTCTGAACTTTCAGACGTTACTTAGTGGGTGTTACAGTAGCTATATAATCATGGTTTTTACTTGGTTGAAATACTCATTTAGATCCAAAAAAATTTAATGGAACTATCAATTGAGTAGATTTTCTAGATGAATCTAAATGACTTTATGCCTTACCAAACCAAAATCTGTGATGCCCTTCTGTTCTTTGTTCTGTCACCTGAATTTACAAGATGATCTCATCTGTATGGACAACCCATATTACTAAGTGTTTTAATGCTATCGTCAAAAACGGGATATTTTGCATGGAATGCCCCTATGCAGTAAAATTCAGTGTTGCTGCAAACATGGATTAGCCTTAGTTCTGACAACTGATAAAACAAGTGCTGTCATGGTCATGCATGTCTCTGGATCTTGTCCTTTTTAAAAAAACATAAATCCTAAACTGGTTCTAGTTCTTAAACTAGTAGCAGACTTACCAAGTTACTCAGTAGGAATGGGCTTGAATTATTTCACAGTGACCATCTACCTTTACTTTGCCTTTTGACTTTATATGTAAGTAGACTTGGATGGAACTTAAATACTTTAAAATGCTTTTTCTAAGGATAAGATTTTGTTCACTGTCACATTACTACTTCTGAAGGTCCATCTGTTTTGTTTTTCAGGTGATTCAGCTCTAGAGGAAAGATTTGTCTTCACAATTTCCTTTGAAAGCACAATGGCCACGTTTTAGAGTTTTACAGAAATCAGAAATCATCTAGGAACAAGAACATTGGACTTTGAGGAATAACAGAGTTCAGAGAGCCCAGAAATTGGTCACTGATAAACCTGACTTCATCATACAGCTTGGAAATGAATACCATTGAGACAGCAAAGCTTGAAGAGCATATGGAGGGTCAGACGAATGACACTTCTAATGGCTACTCACGACCTACTCTCTCAGTCAGTGAAGAGAACAAAAATGGCACCAACAAACCAAAGGGCTTGTCTAATGGCTTGCGGAAAACAGCAAAGAAGTATCCTGATTACATCCAGATTTCTATGCCTGCTGAAGCTAGGAACAAATTTCCTCTGGAGTGGTGGAAAACAGGCATTGCTTTTGTCTACGCTCTCTTCAACTTGATTCTAACAACTGTCATGATCACTGTGGTCCATGAGAGAGTACCTCCAAAGGAGCTGAGCCCTCCCTTGCCTGACAAATTTTTTGATTACATTGATCGTGTGCAATGGGCTTTTTCTGTATCAGAAATAAATGGAATGATACTACTTGGATTATGGATATGCCAGTGGTTGTTTCTTAGATACAAGTAAGTTAGCAATATTTCTGCTTTGTTTTCAGAATGCTGTTTTTCATTGTTTGTGCTGGTTAGAAGGAATCTTATGTTAAAATCCCTAACAACATAGAAGAGGGCTGACAGGAAAGTGACAAAGGGGTGGTGACTTGTTTACAAAATGTTCTAGATATTGAAACACAGGTTTCCTGATTATTGAATAATGTTTAATTCTGAATCTCTGACCCCTATGTTGTACTAGTCAAACTTAAATTTGAGATTGGGCCTTTCAAAATTTACTGACATAAGGATGTTTAGAGGAAGTGATGATGTAAAAAAAATCTCTTCCAAATATGAGGAAGAACCCACTGTCCTCTACAACTAACCTGGAAACCTCTTCCTGTGTCTGCATTTCCTTAAACTATACATATGTAAGTCAAGAATATGGTTATATGGGACTGTGAAGAGACTATTACTGAGTTGAGGAAAACTGATCCTGACTGCACATTTAAGTTAGACTGGGGGCACATTAAATAGGTGGGAGCTCTGTGCTATTAAGAGCTAGCAAGACTAAAACCTGAAGAAGGATGTTTTAGTATTTGATTTAGAAAAGAGCTGGGGATAGAAGTGCTATTTCATTCATGTCTAATAAAGCTAGAGCTACATAAGTGTTATATGTGTATTCTGCATCTAAACTTTGTATTCAATCTTTTCCCCCCTTCCCTTACTTTCAGATCAATAGTGGGACGCAGGTTCTTTTTTATAATAGGAACTTTGTATCTGTACCGCTGTATTACTATGTACGTTACCACCTTACCTGTGCCTGGGATGCATTTTCAGTGTGCACCAAAGGTAAGAGTCTTTGCTCCCGAATTCTTGCCCTAGTCTCTGATTGAGTCTTTCTGATTCCTTAGAGCAAATGGAAAGTAATGTTTCAGGTATTATTAAATAACACAAATTACTATTAGTGGATGTCTTCAGAAACACAGGTAATGATAAATCAAAACCTGTGTGATACAGAAAGAGCCTCAAGTTGTTGCAGCTAAGATGCTTTTATGAGAGTACCTATGTTGACATAGCACTGCTAGTCTGACCCTCGAGCTAATCACTCTAACCCACAGTTATATGCTTTGTCTTGTTTCTCACACTGTTTGGTCAAGAGCTATTGCGATACCTGAAGTCAACTGCTTGTCTCTGCTTCCAACCTGCAAAATGTATAGAAATGTAACTTAAAACAAGTTCAGCTGCTTAAATAAGCTGATACATATAGAAACATGGATGTGCTAATATTTTTACAAAAATATTTTAAAAACTTTATGGCACTGTAGTTAAGTGGTGACACAAAGGAATTGTTATTGCCATTTTAGGTTACTAATAGAAAGATGTAGACTTATGATTGACTTGTAACAAATTGTGTTATGTTGGCTGTGATGAAAGAATAGTATTGCCAGTTTACTGGGGGGATAAAATTGTCACCTCTTGAGCAGGATCTCATCAGTCTTGCGGTACAGCATCATGTCTGTTCTCTTTCGTGGTGAAACAACTTAGGCACATAGCAGATGAATTATTTCTCCCGTGAATCAGTATCTGTTTGAAAACTTTTATATACCACTATTGTAAAGACATAATTGTTTTGTTCTAATAGCTTGGAGGGGTTGTCTTTGTGTAGTAGACTGTATTGAGGAGTGAGAAGAGGTAAGCAAGGGAAAACTTAAATGTCTCTACTGAAAGTGCATTTTGCTAGCATTAAACCAGGATGAATTACTTGAACCCTGGGAAAAAACTTGATAGTGCCTCTGGATTTTGGTGGTGTTTTGTTTTGTTTTTTTTTTTGGTCTTATGTGAATACTTTTAGGGTTATGCAAAACTCAGTAATCCTTTTTTTTTTTCTGGAGTTAGTTTTTAAACAGCTAGGTGAAACTGAGTTTTCCTAGTATCTGTGAAAAATCAAAAGCTGATCTTAATGCATGTATAAAAACCATACATCCTCTAAATATTAGTAAGTCCTCCCTGAGTTTGTAACCAAATCTAAAATTAAGCCAGTTTGAGGTTTTTGCTCTGTGGAAACATTGTTCAGCTTTGAACAGAATGACAGAAGTAGCATGCAAGGTTGTAGCTGTTTTGAATGAGTTTTATCCATTCTGTGGACTGCTGTCATGGGACCTGACTTTACAAATTCTTAGTGTTTACTTTTTCAGTATGTTCTGCGTATCATTCTCATACAAGGCATATTTCAAAATAGCCTGGGAAAGCATAGGTAGAATGCTAGTGTTAGCAAACTAAGCTTTATCATCTGTCATCTGTGATATGCATGCTTATTTGTTTAAGAATATGTGAAAGAAAGATAAAGAAAATGAAGATAATTATATCCTTTTCTCTCTATCTCCCTGACTTTACATTTATTTAACAAGAAGTTTACTGAGGTCGTGGTGTATCTTAACCTTTCCTTTTTGCATTTGTTTCTGGTGTTCTAGTTGAATGGAGATTCTCAGGCGAAGGTTCAGAGAATCCTGCGACTGATTTCTGGTGGTGGTCTATCCATAACTGGATCACACATCCTGTGTGGAGACTTCCTGTTTAGTGGACACACTGTAGTATTAACGCTGGTCTACCTGTTCATCAAAGAGTGTAAGTGTGTTTCAATGCTTTTGTTCAGGTTCTTCTGGGAAAACATGTGATAACATGAATGTAAGACTACTGTCCTCCAGAAGTTGCTTGTCAGTTGTACACAGACTGTATGTGTATGGGTTTGAAATACAAATATTGATTTTGACTGGAAATGGAACATGGGTGTAGTAAAATCATGGGTTAAGGCTGGAGGGGCCTACTGGAGATCCTCTAGCCCAACCTCCTCATTCAAGCAGGATCATCTAGACTGCATTGCAGAGGATTGCATCCAGACAGTTCTTGAGTATCTTGAATATGGAGAGAGACTCCACAATCTCTCTGGGCAGCCTGTTCCTGTGCACAGTCACCTGTGTACTGGTGAAGTACAGAATGAAGTTCTCTGCATTCAGGGGAAACTTCCTGTGCATCAATTTCTGCCTGTTGCCTCCTGTGCTATTGCTTGGCACCACCAAGAGCAGCCTGACTCCATCTTCTTGACACCTTCCCTTCAGATACTTACAGGCATTCATTCAGGCTCCCTCTCAAATTTCTATTCTTCAATCTAAACAGGCCCCTCTCCCCCAGTTTTCCCTCCTAAGAGAAATATTCCAGTATCCCAGTCATCCTCATAGCCTTCCACTGGACTTGCTCCACATCTGTCTTGTACTGGGGAGCCCAGAACTCCAGATGCAGCCTCACTAGGGCAAGTAAAGGGTCAGGATCACCTCCCTTGACCTGCTGGCAATGCTTTTCCTAATGTACCTCAGGGTATCCCCTGCCCTTCTTGGCTACAAGGCCACGCTGCTGGTTCATGGACAACTTGTCCACCTGGACTCCCAGGTACTTCTCTGCAGAGCTTTCCAGCAGGTTGGCCCCAAACCTGTACTGGTGCACCAGGTTTCTCCTTCCCAGGTGCAGGAACCTGCACTGGTCTTTGCTGAATTTCAGAAGGCTCTGTTCTGCCCATTCCCGATTGGTGAGATCCTTCTGAAAGGCTGTTCAGCCTGGGGTATCAACCTCTCCTCCCAGCTTTGTATCCTCAGCAGACTTGCTGAGGATGCACTCTATCCCTTCATCCAAGTTATTGATGAGTAAGTTGAATAATACCAGGCCCAGTATCAACCCTTGGGTTGAATTAGACTCTACCAGTGGTAAAAACCCTCTGAACCCTGCCATTCAGCCAGTTCTCAATGCATTTCACTGTCTACTTGTCCAGCCTTGCCTGTGAGAACATCATGGGAGACAGTGTCAGAATGCTTGCTGTAGTCCATGCGGACAGCATCCAATGCGCTCCTCTTATCTGTCCAGACTGTTGTCCCATTGTAAAAGGCAATCATGGTTAAGCATGATTTCCCTGTGGTGAATCCATGCTGACTACTCCTGATCACCTTCTTGTCTTCCACGTGTGTAATGATGGCCTCAGGGAAGAGCTGTTTCATCACCTTTCCAGGGGTTGAGATGAGGCTGACTAAACGTTGTATGGGCTTTAATGAAGGGCTTAATGTGGTTAAACATGTTAACTCTATATAAAGTATTTACTGGCTGATTAAAGCAAGAGATTTTTTTCATTGATGGACAGGTTATTCAAATTTTGGATAAGACATATTGTAGTTAATTATGCACACTGTGCAGGTTAGCTGATCTATGTTAGACTTTAAGGAATTTTGTGGCTTGAACACAACACTGCTGGACACTTACACTACCTTTGGAAGCAAAGTTACTTTTCTCAGCCGTGCTGTACATTAGTTACTGCAAACAGTGAAAAGTTGGTTCATGCTCCTTGGATGTCTTCTACTAGAGTCTCCTGCATAATGCTTCTTGTAGTTAAGAATTTGGCAAGCTCACAGAAGATAGTTATGATTTCCCCCTTTGCTTTACATTGCTATGGGGCATGGGAAGAAAATCTCTGGTGCTGCACACACAACAGCCACTGAAGTGTTGGAGAACTGAGCACCAGCTTCTAAATCTGGTTAAGCTGTGCTTCTGTCTTGAGAACTTGGCTGCTCCTGAATGTGTAGTGGGGAGTTCCCTTTTCAGTTCACATGTTTGGAATTGGATTCTTCTCTCCTACTGTTGTATTCTGAACTATGCAAATGCTATCTTGGCTTGCAGGAACATAGTTCTCACTGAAACAAAAATAAGACCAGCTAGCATTAGTTGGATGCCTTCCTTTTATTAAAATGCTTAGGGAATGAGGTGTTGTAGTGCTACATTCTACCTTAACTATAAACCTCAATATAAAAAGGCCTGTTTAATATGATAAACTTTGAATCTGCAGATGTGAGACATTCTTCTTTGAACAGTGATTTAAGATGCTGATTACAGTCTGATTTTTAGGCCTAGATGTTTCTTGTGAAGTGAACGTTACGGGGGGAATGGCATATGTAACTCACCAACATTGCCAGAACAGTATTAGGAAAGTAGCCTAATAATAGATTTATTGTTTACCTTGTTTTGTGTATGTTATATTGCATCTTAATTGTGTTTGCATATTTATTTTTAGTACCAGGAAAGATGCAGTCAACCCAATAGTTCCTGGACTAGTTTTATTCCTATACTTGTATCGTAAGAGGTTGGAGAAATTGTATCATAAAAATTCTTGTAATAAGCCCTTTGACTACTGCCTAAATGTTAGGCATATATTTCAGGGGAGTTGTGCTCTACAAATGAGAAATGCATAGATTTCCTTTTTCTGCCTCCCATGCAATTAGCAAAATGCTATCTGAACAAGGGCATAAGGCCTTTAATTGTCCTGAATTAGAGGCTGCTTATGGTGTTCTTTTCTGCTCTTTTGGTAACAGGTCTTCAGTGTAAGATGCATTCTGAGGATTTTAGTATTTCTCACTTAATGGAGTTTTTGCTCTATTCTTCCTTTCATTCTCTGCCACTTTTTCCACTTACTCCTCTGCAGTTCACTTTTTTTACCAGAATAGCTACATTTTAGCTTTGATATCTGTCTTGCTCTGTGGTATTTCAATCAATTTTTTGAGATTTACTTGGCTTCTTATCTTCCTTTTTTTAATTATTATTATCTTGCACAGGCCTTTCAAACTACTATTGAGTAAGCTTGTTGAGATCAGTAACTTTTCTGCTTGTATTGTGTGAAAAGTCAAGGCTGACCATTGCCCCACAAGGCAAGGGGTGCCAGAACCTCCCACTGTGGGTGAAATGAAGCCAGTTAGTCTGCCAGAAGTTATGAATGGTCATTGGGACACCCGAGGCATTTTTCAATGGGCAAAGAAGGTCAGGGGAACTCATCTGCTGAAGTGGCTTAAATGTGTTTTGAAGAACAGCTTCACTCCCATTTGTTAAATCTTTCATTAAAGGGTATAAATTCACATACTGTCCTTCCCTGTACAGAGTATTCTGTTTCACACAATTGAGGCTTCATGCGAAGTATTAAAAACCTAAGAATTAAAATAAGTGTCTTTTCCCGTTTAATCTGCTCAGGTTGTATCAATCCTAGGCACTTGAGTTTACTTGAGCATAGACTGTAAGAAGAGTATAAAATAACCAAAGTGGATGTTTTGCCTCAATTCTGTCTATTCCTCTGCAATCCATATCCTAGAAATGACTTACTTAATTTGAGTAGAAAATGGGTGGTGCTGTATAACTGCAGGCTCATCTTGGCATCCTTTTACAAAGTAAGAACACACCTCAGTAAGCATATATAATTCTGGAGTCTTTGTTTTCTGTGTCAAAGCAGGAGTTTTGTACCAGTGTGATAGGAGTTATGTTGTCAAATTTAATAACCTTAAATAATTTTTCTTTTTCCCTTCCTTTTGTGGATTGCTATAATAATGAATGTCTTTTTTGGTGTGTTTTTTTTCCCCATCACCTCCTTGTTTCACAGATTCACCACGTCATTTCTGGTGGTATCACTTAATCTGCTGGCTAATGAGTGCTGCTGGTATCATTTGTATCCTTGTTGCTCATGAACACTATACCGTAGATGTCATCATTGCTTACTATATCACCACACGACTCTTTTGGTGGTACCACTCAATGGCTAATGAAAAGGTCAGTGGCAAATACCTTTAGAACCAATGTATAACCTGCACTTGTTAAGATTGCCCAAAGGTCTAAGGTTTTAATTACTAAATAAAAATAGAGGTTCCATATTGAAGTTTAATGGGCAAGGATTTTCACTGTACTGTTTAAATAATTTGTCTTTAAAGTATATTTTTGAACTTTGAGGTTTATTGCTGTAGTTGGTTTACAAAGTAGCCCTTTTTTGTCTCAGCCTGTGAATAATCAGTAGTTCAGTAATAAAATGTGGCCAACTGAAATTACCTAGACCATCCTAAAATTCTAGTGACAGTTCTTCTGTAAATGTCATTAAAAGTATATTGTTCAGAAGGTATCTGCTGCAGTTGTTTAAACACCACTTTCAAGTAAAAGCATAGCTCTCAAGCCAGTTTAATCCAATTTTCAACTATTAGTCATCAATGGAAACATGACATGCCTGGAAGCACGTTCAGAAAGACTTGGGTGCTTTGTATCCCCAAATTCTGTACAACAACAAAGCATCCCTTTGTGTTAAAGATGCTCATTTTGTCGTATGCATTTGGACTGTGATCTATGCATTATCTCGGTTCTGTGTTTTCTAGGCTAAATGCTCATTGTCTTTGCAGAAATGCATTTCTGTAGTTGTCTTGACTCAATAGAATTGATTATAATGCCTTAAACTGACTGTCTGTTTCCTTTTCTTCTTTATCTGCTTGTGCCAATACAGACTTTAAAGGTTTCTTCGCAGACGAATTTCCTCTCTCGAGCATGGTGGTATCCAATATTTTATTTCTTTGAGAAGAATGTGCAAGGCTCTGTTCCTTGCAGCTTTTCCTGGCCGATATCTTGGCCTCCCAGCTGCTTCAAATCTTCATGCAAAAAGTATTCACGGGTTCAGAAGACAGGAGAGGACAATGAAAAATCTACCTGAAGAAATGAAGAAAAGCATCTGCTCTGTGGTTTTTCTTGTTTTCTTTTGTTTTGTTTTTTACCAAAACATTAATGCTGTAACCAAAGTTCTTAAGAGGACTATACTGTAACTGAAGAAGTGGACCAAGCTTCTGTGCTATTGATTGAAGAGACAATTATAGACACATATTGCCATTTCAGATGTTTTCCTATCATCAGGCTGTACAGACCTACTCTACTCCTCAGTGCTAATGAAATGCACCAGTGATGGGATATTTTTATTAAAGAAAAAAAATGGAGCAGGACTTTGCTTTACTAACAAGATAGAGGTGCCAAAGACTACAGTAACACTTTCATTACTAACTACCACTCATCCACAGAAGCACCCAAAAGTCTCATCTTCAGAGTTCTGGAGTGCATAAGGGCAAAAACATGCTCAATTGTAAAGGCACGATATTGGCGTATCGAGGTATATAAAAAAAAAATAACACAATTGTGGGAAGTGGTTTGTTGCATTATTCTTGCTAATGAAGGTAAGGCCTCTGCATGACTGGTACAGCTGGAAGTGAGTGTGACTTTTTTTTTTTACACACTGTGGGTATGAATATCATATGACCCTAAAATATTGCTTCCACTATTAACTCCCATATATTCTACTATATACCAATTTTTACATTTTTATTAGTAATTTTATATTTAAACTGTTGTGCTACCTGATGACTTTGCTAATTAGCTGCTAACATCAGAGCTCAAAGAGCCTAAAATTTTATTTTTAATAAGGGACACAGTTTCAAAGTCTAAATCTTTAATTACAGTTGGCCTTGTGTATATAGCTTTACAGTGCCTGTCAGTGTATGTACATGCATATACACACAAAAGCACACACTAAACAAAGTTATTTACTGGGAAGAGTGATCATAGAGTTCTTGATGCAGGCAAAAGTCCCACAGCTCTCACCTGCTTGAGCAATGCAAGGCCAGGTCCAAAATGAGGTTACATTTAAAATTTAATTTTGAATTTTAGTAGCTATCTCTTGCTGAAGCTATGTAGCGAGTTTGTATGGGAACCATAGTTCTGCATTGAATTTTTTTTTTTTTTACCTGTTGGCACATGTCTGTGTGACTTGACTTTGAAAGAAAAACCCACCAAACAAAACAGTGCCAAGGTAAATCCCTACAACAGCAGCATTTCTTCAGTTATTACCCAAACCCATTCCATATTAAAATACGCTGTTGTAGGACTCACATGTAGCTTCCTTTTTTCCCAGGGTTTCAGTCCAATTAAAATGTCTACTTAAACAAGTTGGCTGAGGAAGTGGGAAATTACCACGGGGTAAACATGTAACAAAACCACAAATTAACAGCTACTGGGTTCTTGTTGGTTTATGTTTTGTATTGTTGGGAAAGCAAAGCAGAAAATTAGCATACCATGTTTAACCATTTTTATTCTGGATTAATTTCTGCAGCTAACTCAATATTGTTTTCCAATTTTCAGTGAAACTTGATGCAAAAATAAAACTGCACCAAGTGTTGAGGTGATACTAATATAAAGGAAATGCTGCTTAATTTTAAGAATGTCTTGAATTGACTGACAAGTGTGAACACAATTTAAATTATGACAACTTCCTTTTAAAAAGTCCAGTTAAAGTTATAAAATGATTTTTTTTCCAGCTAAGGGGATCATTGCTCTTGTTGTACTTGAGTATTTTTGTGCATTATCAAAATAATACAATAAACAATGTTCCTTACATCCTTGGTAAAACTTAGCTAAGAAAGAAGTTCTGCTGATGTTTGGTTTTATTTTAAATGAGCTTAGTAGACTCTGATAACATGTCCCTGAAGTTGTGTGTATACGGGCATAACTATGATTCCATTTGCTTGCTCCTAACAGACTTTGAACAGCTAAACCAGTATGGAAACACTCATGAGTCCTTTTTCTCGATCACATAAAGAAGTCTGTTCAGTGTCAGTCAGTAGATCTCCCAAGATACTTATTATATCAGTACTACTTCATAGAGCATAATTTTTTAAAGATGAAATCTAAGCTTTGTGATATCAGAAATATGGTCATGTTAAGCCACTTGTAGTAATACTGTCTTCTGTGATTTATGAATGGATTTCATTGTTGGTAACCATACCTTGAAAACACGATGAGAAGCCTTACAGGAGGAGCTTAAACAGTGGTTTTCATCTGGGCTGAAAAATAAATACTTAGATAGTCTAGACAGCTAATTGCATAACCACCACCATGGGATTTCTGTAATGTATCTTCTAAGTAGACTTCATGCAAGATGAGGTGTTTGGGTTTTTTTTATACTTATTCCGATTTCTGGAAGGTAAAAATGTGAAAGTGATGCAATATAACCAAGTAAAGACTCTGCTTTTGTGGGGCCACGTGAGCTTTCATTATACTGCTGAATTTGGTAGAAACTTCTATTGTAATACAAAAGGAAAGTTTAATTAGTAACTCTAGCTTAAAATACTTGATTCTTGTTCTGGCTCAGCCCCTTGGTAAGTGCTTAGTATTTCTCCATTGTATCCAAGCCCTTAAAAGTGGGTGGATGGGTGTGTATGCATTTAGTTAGCAGAAATCACCAGTTCTCTACTCTCTCAGTAGCTTTTAATTGCTTTTGCAAACTTGGATGGTATAGTTGTATTTGAAGATTCTTCAGGCCTATATGTAAGGTGATGAAACGGGGTAAGTAATTGTATATGCTGATTCTTACCGCTGTAGTAGTTTATCCAATACAAACCACAACTGCTACGTGAAAATTACTCATTTTAAGATCTTGGTGATCATTGTATATTAGTACCATGAAACTGAAAATACAGTTTCATCCAAAGAGGAAAAAAGATTGCAGTAGGTAAAAAGAACAGGAGAAACTTGAACTTAAGCCTACAATCAAATTATTAGTGCATTATTTGGACTGTATATATGTCCAGTGTTTTGCAGTATGTCACTACTTATTTTTTCCTAGTTACAATATTTCTTAGAGGTGTCACATGAGCTGCACCTATGCTGTGACTATAACATGCTCTTTCTCTCTACTGAAGGGCATTTATATGTTGAACTTTCCAGACGCTTCAAAAAAACCCCAAAACCAACAACTAAACTCTACACCTGTACACTTGGCATATCAGTATGACTTAGTTGCTGATGGTGCTTTGTGTTTATGGAACAAGCTTTGTTAAATGCCTAATCTAAATTTAAACTTGGATGTAACAGGTTAACTTGTGGATTTAAAGAAATATGCTGCTAAGTAGTCATGCTATAGATGCTTCATTTTAATGCCAGAAAAGATTAACATATACTTGAAACCACTGTAAATAGACGTGCTTTTTTTCTAGTACGTGCTTAGCACTCCCATGTGGTCATAAGTGGTACTATATATTAGTCATCCTTCATTGCAGTTTTCTTGGAAAGATCGCTACAGGTGAGGTAGTAGCAAAAATAGTTGTGCTAAATGTTGCTATGAACTCTGCATTTGCTTCCCTCCTTAAAAAAAAAAAGGGGGCAAGAGAAGGAAACTAAAAAAAAAAAAATCAAGACTGTATATGCTAAGATGCATTAGCTTCATGTAATAGAGAAATAAAGCTCAGTAACAGAGACAGAACTGGGAAGTCTTGTAAGATATGAGAGAGCAATCTCTTAATTGGATTATTGCAAATCCACTTACCAGTGTCTTAAATCGGAATCTGTTCGAGGTGTTGCTTTTTCCCATCATTAGTATCTGGCTAGACAGTTTATTGTAAGTTGTTTGGTACTGACCCTAATTCTTTCTCATTTCGGAAGGTGTTAAGTATGATTTACGGTTCTAGAAACAGATCCATAAACAGCAGTGCAAAGTGAAGCTTTCCCATTTAATTTAAATGAACTTTTCCATAGCTCTTTGTTTTGTTTTTGTTGTTGTTTTTTTTTTTTTGAAACTTGTAAACCTTGAATCTTAAAGATTCATGGGGTAATTTTGAAAACGTGTCCAATCTATCAGATGCACTGAAACAGTTTTTCCTTACTAGCAGACTTAGCCGCTATAAAGCTCCATTGTCACCTTGATATTTTTACAATACCCATGTTTTGGACTTACCAAGAACTCTTCTATGAACACACAAAATTAGAGTGATACTGTAAGGTTGGACACTTCTGAATTGAAGTGCTCTATACAAGGCACGGTTAAGTCAACGTCTTAAATTCAGTTATTGAGGAAAGGGATCTTAAAAATAAATAGTTCTGTTGGGCTCCACTCAAATGAGTGTTGCTGCTTAAGTGCACATGAGAAAAATATCCTAGCATGCCACTGAAGTAACTTTGCTTGTAAGTAAGCCTTCATATGCTACTTTATTATGCTTCCCAGTGTCCAAAAAGAAGTGTATTGAAACAGGACAAAGGCTTTTGTTCTAGTATTTACAAGAAAAAGGAAGACAGATGAAAACACAGAAATAGATGATCATATAATGCTTTTTACATGAAATTGAGCTAAAACTACAACGGATTTCTAAGTAATGTAGAAATAATTGCTTTTTTGTGTAAAAATAGCTTCTAAAACAAGAACAAAGTGCTGCAATGCTTAAAACATAGAGAAGCTTTTTCTAGTTGGCTAAAGTTTCCATGGATTTAACCATATGATTAAGTCTTATTAACCTAGAAAGTAGCACACGAGAATGTCAGGCTAGATGCAGATAGCTTGTGTACTGTAGGGACACGTTCTAGTTCTGAACTTGTCTTTCCTAACAAAACATTTAGAATGCCTGAATGATGTTTTAAGATGGAGTAACAATACGGAGCAGTCTCTAACATGTATCTAAAATACTGGTGTTGCAGATTCCTTCTCTCCTAATGCAAATTGGTGATTAAAAACTCAGGAAGGTTTGAATTGTTTTCAGTTAAAATGCTTTCATTACAAAGGACTTGGAGTTTAGCAAATAGCAGTTTGTTTTCTGTGGCTCTCTGCTGTGAACTAACCTTTGAGGTGCAAACTAGGTAGGAGAAAGGAAAGCAGCTCTTGCTGGAAGGAGCAGTGTGTGACTTTTGAACTGAAATTATATTGACTGTATGCTACATGCAGTCTTATCTGTACTATAGTTGAAAAAAGATGCTGTATTATACTATTATATTTAGTGTTCACACTTCTCAAATTATTCTGTAGCGGTTGGCCCAGTCCTTCCCCTAGATGAGGAGTGAGTGTTTTTTGTCCTTTGCTTGCTGTATGGTTAAACACAACTGGGTTTAGTTCTGGTAAATATCAATGGAAAAAAATGTAGATCCATTGTATACAGTGCCTAAGATGTTTTTAAGGAGTCTATGCATGGGTTTCTTCTAGGAGAAATACTCTTCTTTCAAGCTGTGCCTATATAATAATGTAAGCTCTTGCATTTGCCGTCAGCATAGCAAGGTTTGTAGGAGTGTTTGTGACACTGCAAAGAATTACTACAGAAAAATCTCATTTGTGCCAGTTGAGATGAGTTTTCACAGAGTAACTTTGAAATATATTTGACTTTTGGGGTGGTTGGGGGTTTTTAATTTGGTTTGGTGTTTTTGTTTGGGTTGTTTTTTTAATTAAAAGAAGAAGCAGTCAGAAAGGAGTCTGAAGTGAAAGCATCTTGAGCAGTTGGGCACCCAGGCACCGTGCAGGCACGTGTGTGCGGAGAGGGGCCCCTGTGGCATGGGCAGTATTGGATTCAGTACCCAGAGGCTTCTCTGGGAGGGTAAACTAGGTCGTACTTATATAGTAGGCCGTGAGACATCTTTGCTTGTCATTTTGAGCTCCTTAAAGACTGAGAGCACAGTGCTGAAGGTGGCAATAGCTAAAAAGTGTAGTGAAGGCCTCTTAGAAATCAGACAAGTATGGAAGGGGCTGAAAAGGCAGATGTCCATAAAACCAGTCATTGGAGAGCTGTGTTCTAATTCAAGGGAGCAGGAAACTTGGAGTTCAAGCACGTGAGTTGCGTTCAAAATGAGTGGGTTTGTTTGCTTTTTAAATGACTGTGTTTTTTTTCATTAGAGATGACAGGAGTGCTGAGAATATCAAGAGGAAATTTATCTCCCTGCTTGCTTTGACCTCTCTCATTGAAATGTTTGTGGATGAACAATATTACTGAACTCCAACCCCTCTTACATTTTGAGTAACTTGTTATCAGTGCTTTATTTCTGTAAAAACTGGGTTTGCATTCCCCTTTTTTCATGATTTGTTGCCACTCAAAGTGCTGCTTACACTTAAGTCTGTGCTGATTTGGGCTCTTGTCTCACTATGTCTGCCTCTTCTAAATGACTCAACATAGAAGAGTAGGATTTACATTTGAGAAGACTCCATAATTAACCCTAAAGCCAAAAGACCATTCTTGTCAGACACATCTTTGCACCATTTGAGACTCGAAACTATTTTTAAGTACAAAACTTAACATGCTAGGACATGCTTTTTTATTTTTTTTCCCGTCAGGAATCAGTTCTCCCTCTTAAAATGTTCAGTATGTTTGCTTGTGTTTGTTTTCCTGATTCAGGAGAAAACGTGTGAGATGTGAAAAAGATGAGTTCTGGCAGCTTCATGAGGTCAGGGTAATATCAAGGAACTTGAAAGTAAAAGCAGAAATAATGGTGTGATGGCTGATGTTCTCGTGCTTTCCATGTGACTTTGAGAACTGCAAAAGGCTTCTGTAAAAACACTGCAGGACCTCGCTTTTAACTGCAACATATTTTCATACTCGTTGGCTGACAGCTTTTCTTGCCTGATTTCACCTAGGTTGAATCTGTAGCTCTGCACATAGGTTGGAGCTATATATCCAGTCTTGGAAAAATTAGGCAAGAAAAGCTGTTGGCTGCTGAGGAACCCTACCTGGTAATACAGGAATGCTGTAATGCATGCACAGTGAGCTAATAAATGGCAGGGTTTTATGGCTTTAGGGTCCAGTTCTGCAAAAACTGTGCAGTATAATGCTATGATAACAAATGATAATAAAGACCTTTTGTGCTGTGGTTTCCACTAATGTTTGCAAACTGGGCCTCAATTTTACATAAATTGCTCATAATTAGCAAGAGCAAGAGTTGACTTTTATCTATCAAAATTTTCAGGATGACACTTTATAGCTGATGTCAGCTATTTTGGTTAGGTAACTGAGTGTTGTGGTTTGCTGTATATGTGCAAGAGCGAGCTAGGGCTATGATTTGTAAGATGTTGCAATCTGTTCACTGTATAAAAAAAGAAGAAACTAAAAAAACAAACAAACAAAAAAGACAAAAAAAAAAAAACACACACCAAAAAACCGCCTATTGCACTAGCTGTACTTAAAAAAAGCAATAACATGAGCATCTTTTAGCTTTTCTCTCCAAAGGTGCTGTCATGATCATTTGCATTGTTGGCCATGAATTTGGTAAAAACATGTTAAAGAAGTTGTCTTATGTGGTTTAGTTGGCACATACAAGTAGAAATTTTTTGTGTACTAACAAATGCAATACTTTGTTGGACTATTTACATGACCACCTGTATCTTTAAAAATCAGAAACCTACATCCACTTATGGTGCTAAAGATCTCAAATATTATTAAGAGCTGGTATTCTCTTCTTACCCCTGAACACTAAGGAAAGCTATTTTGACACCTTTTCAATAAAGCAAAATTTCTCTACATTTTGAGCCTGTTCCAAATGCTTTTAATATAAATGACCCTTTTCTATTTCTATTTTATATAAAGCTGCAATAAAAGGAAGTATTTTAATGCAGGAAAACATTAGAAGTGTATATATTGATCTAAACTACATGTCCAAGTCTAAATTTTCATACATTCTTAAAATAGCTAATCTTTTGAAACTCTGTCTAAAATACAGAAGTGTTGGCAGGATTAAGGCACAAGCTAGTAGTTTAAAGAAAAATTATTCTCTGGCTTCATCATCATTGTTGAAGCCTCAGAGACAGAGAGGGTATGAAATGCACAAAACTGTAGCAGGAGAACACCAATTATGCAGTGTAGATCTACCTTTTGCTGAAACTTCTAAAAAACAAACTTGTGAAGGAACATGACCATGTAATGATATCTAAAGAATTGACTTGAAATTTGATGTAATTATCAAGACTGTTCATAGTAGGACGTTATAAAAACCCATGAGAGGACCTTGAACTAGATAAGATTGTGAAACAGCAGTGTAATTTTCTAGCTTTGTTTAAAAGCTTCACAAGCAACATTCTCTTAAGATGAAAAACTCTTGTGCCTTCTGTTGCAGAAATTATTGTTCTCTTCCTCCCCGCCTTTGGTTGTGATTTTTTTTGTATATAATGGAGGACAGTGTACTTCCAGATCTTTTCAAGAGGCATGTTTGGGCAGCAGTACCTACACTTTCTATCCATGGAGAATACCAGGACTCTAGTTCTTTTTAAAGGCCCCTTACATGTCAACTTGCCATTGTAAAAGTATCTGCCTGTGACACGTGGCAATCCTAGTAGTTAGCTCTGAAATAAATATGCTCTTATTTGATAGGGACACATGAACATGCAGAGTGGGTGCCGTGTCCAGGTACACCTTGGTGAGTGAGCAGGGTGCAGCCTGGAACACTGCAGCACATTCCTCTGCTCTACATTAGTTGTGCTCTGAGGTTTTGGTCTCTAAACTGTTCTCTTTCATATACTGGAATAAGTTCTCTTGAATCACTTGCACCTTGTATTTCAAGGAATATGGGCTTGTCTAAGATCGAAGAATATTCCATGGCTAAAGTAACTTAACTCAAAGCAGACACCCACCATCTAGGAGAAAATTAGGGCGGGCTGGGGTTTTTTTTTGAGTGAAGAGGGATAATCTAGTAACAATAGTCTGGATTGTATCTTGCTGCTTGTCCCAGTGCTTGCTTTAATAGTAGGACACTTGGAAGAGCCAAAGATAGAACAAAGTCATCCATAACAGTCCTAAGCCACATTGAAAGTTAACTTGCCTATCTCTTAATTACTAGATGCTTCAGAGAAAAAGGGTTTTTGTTTTTTAGTTAAAAAAAAAGTGCAATATTTACAGAAATATAAAGAGATAAATGGCTGCAGGTTTGAATGCCCTGCAAAAAACAAAGCCTTTGCAACCATGTGACATGCACTTGACTGAGAGAGTTTTTTTAGCCTTAGCGTCTGCTGTGTTACAGAAACATGTTTCAGTGCACTAGTCTAACTCAGAGATTTCAGATTTTTTTCAATATTCTTTTGACGAGGAGAGTATTTTTTATGAATAAAGTGCCTGTGGAAATAAAAATCCAAAAGTTGCCTGCAAATGTAAATAAAGCATATAGAACCACAGCCCATACTTGAAGAGAATGGGTGCTAACTCAGTAACTGTGGAGAACAGCTGCTGAGCAGTTGTAAGTGGTGATAGGATTCAAAGTTTGAGAAAAGAATATTATGTTTGAGAGTTTACTGTGTTAATTAAACTTTTACTGTTTTTGCTTGGGCCTTAACTCTTTAACTTAGTTATCTTTAAAGAAAAATTAGTTCCTTTGAACTATTCTATTTCAAATGTTTAATGACAGTCTTTGGTGGGGATTTTTGTTTGTTTGTTACATGGGTTTTTTTTTTTACCTGTTAAAGTCACCAAATGCTTTGATTACTCAGTTTGAGGTAAAAGAGTTTGAAGAATGTCTTTAAGTGCAGAATTCAAGGGAGGGTGGGTTTTATTACACTGATACTAGAACTGAGAAGGGATGATTTCCATGGGAAGCATGATAGTGCTAAAACTTGTATATGTAGTTATTTGGGGTATGCAGAATATTAGTACTTATGTATTATTTTGCTGTTAATTTTATGTTCTATAAAGAGGCTATTTGGTACTAATTTAAATTGAAAAAATTGATTTTAATGTTGCAACAGCTGTTATTTTAACTTGAAACATCAATTTATGTACTGATATACTAGAGCAAAATTTACATTTGATCAGTAACTTCATTTAAAAATATGAAAGTAATCTCATTTTTATCAAAATTAATGTGGAATTTAATCTCTGGGCAAGCTTGAATTGCTCATATGCCACTGAAACCAATCTTCAATTGCATACAGAAGGAAAGCAGGCTCTTTTTTTTTTTTTTTTTAATCTAGTATAACTTCTTGAGTAGACTTAAGAGGGAAATGAGACTAGATTACTCCTCTGTAAAGAAAACAGGCAAAACCAGTAATGTGTTTCAGCTGTGCTGAATAGTTTAGCTTCTTATTTTCACACTGTAGAATTTAAACTTTTCTTGAGACTCACATTTAAGATGTCTTTAGTTCAGCTAAATTTTCACCTGTTCTTTTTATATTTTTTCTAATAGTTGCATTTTATTGGTGTACGTTGTAATTAACCACTGAATTTCTGCCAAACATAAACAAAAAAAAGCTGCATTCTGTTCTAAGTTAAATCTGTGTTCTTAGTTTTTTTTATTTTGTTTAATCTGTGGCTAGTAAAATGTCCATTTGCTGTTTAGATTAAAGAGACAGTTGCCTTAATTGCTTGGAGGAAAGCTTACCTTGACCATTTGAAGCTTTATGTATTTCTAAAATTCCTGTAACTTCTGTAAAATTGCAATAAAACCTTTTTAATACAGTTCAGCCACTATTTTATGAGCCCCTTGTCACTATCTTTACGGAATGCTCAACTATTTAAAAAGGAGTTTTTTAAAAACACCCTTTTTAGTGGATAAGCACCTCTTGTTCTGTGTGATTTTTTTTTTATTATTTATTTTGGGGGTATCACTTTAAAGATGGTGTACTTGTGTTTTGCCCACAGTGCTTTTCTCTTTTAGTGAGGGGGTACCAAGAGCACTTACTAAAATCACTGATGCTGCAGCAAATGGCTTGGAACACCATACAGTAGCATTTTCAACATCTGATTACCTTTGTAAGGATTACATTTTGTTGTTGATCAGCAGGAAAAAGTGTCCCAAGGTGTGTTCTACAGGGTGAGGGAAGTTACCCTGAAATCCAGTTGGGGGGTTAGGTTTGGGTTTTTGGGGGAAGGTGTGGGGGGTGTGTGTGTGGGGTTCTGTGTTGGTTTTTTTGGTAGTTGTTTGGGGTTTTTATTTATTTTTGTTTTGAGGTTTTTGTTAGTTTTAGTTCTTTCCCACAAATAAACAGTCTTTGCTCTAAAATTGAAGTCCAGCTCTGATAAGCCTCTCTGTGCTGCTCTGCGTGTGCCAAGCAGTTGCTTTAACCTAGAGCTGAGACATGTTTCTAGGTTAGTACTTGCTTATGAAAACAGAACATTTTGGTCTATTGCTTAGAACTCCCAGCTTTTCCGCTTGGGAAGGGGGAAGAAAGAACATCTGTATTTCGTTTCCTTCTGAACACCACTAAAAATGGGTGTTTGCAGAAAGAGGATTTGCAAGCAAGTCCTATGAGGTTGTGGGGAGCGCTCTCTCTTCCCCCCCCCCCCCCCCCCCCCCCCCCCCCCCCCCCCCCCCCCCCCCCCCCAATTAGCTAAACACGTCTGCCTGAGTTCAATGACATCTTTTAAACTTGGACCGCGTCCAAGCACCGGGCCAGCTTTTGACCGCGGAGGGCGGTGGCGGTAGTGCAGCCCGGCCCCGCTCCCCGCCCACAGGCCCGGCGGGACGGGGTCAGGGCGCCGCGGGCCTCGCCTCCCGCCCGCCCCCGCCATCTTAAACCGCTACTCGCCGGCAGCGGGGCCAGCACTCTGGTCCCACCGCCCGGGGAGATGGCGGCGCCGGGTACGGAGGCTTGGACGTGGCTCCTGCGGCCGCCCACCGCCACCGAGCTGCTGCTGGCGGCCCTGTGCTGGCTCGGCTGCTACTGGCTGCTGCTCCGGCGGCCGCGGGCGCTGTCGGGGCTGCCGCCGGGCCCTGCGCCCTGGCCGCTGGTGGGCAACTTCGCCTTCGCCCTGCTGCCGCCGCCGCTGCTGCGCCGCTGGGCGGTGGAGGTGCAGGACGGCGGCCGCGTCTCCCCCGCCTTCTCCCCGCACGTCTTCCTCACCGGCCTCACCAAGATGTACGGCAGCGTCTTCCGGCTCTTCGTGGGCAGCCGCCCCTTCATCGTGCTCAACACCTTCGAGGCGGTGCGGGAGGCGCTGGTGGAGAAGGCGGAGGTGTTCAGCGACCGGCCCTCCGTGCCCATCGTCCTCATGATCACCCACAACAAGGGTAAGCGCCCGGGGGCGCCCCGGCGGGTGGCGCTCGGGGAGCTGTCGCACCCTGATGGATGGCCAGGGCGGTGGTACCGAGCGGGGCTCGTGGCCGCTCTGCCGAAATTTATAAATAACTGTTGTGAATTGCAGAGTGAACCATTTGCTCGCTTTTTTGCTCCTCGCGTGTATCCTTCACCCTGCTGCTGACTGAAAGCGCGCAGAGAGAAAGTCAACCTCCCTTGAGGTGGACATGCAGCATCCCGGTGAGCTGGGCAGTGCTGTGCTGTGCACCACAGACCACCTCTGGATGACTGAAATGCCTCGTCCCTTTAGCTCTGTTCACAGTAAAGGGACCGAGGAGCGGCTGACGGAGCTGGGGCTGTTTAGCCTGGAGAAGAGGAGGCTCGGGGGGACCTTATTGCTCTCCAAACTACCTAAAAGGAGGTTGTAGCCAGGTGGGGGTTGGCCTCTTCTCCCAGGCAACCAGCGGTAGAACAAGAGGACATAGTCTCAAGCTGCACCAAGGGAGGTTTAGGTTGGACATTAGGAAGAATTTTTTCACAGAAAGGGTGATTGGGCATTGAAATGGGCTGCCCGGGGAGGTGGTGGAGTCACAGTCCCTGGAGGTGTTTAAGGAAAGACTGGATGTGGCACTTAGTGCCATGGTCTAGTTGGTATTGTGGTGTTCAATCATAAATTAGACTCGATCTCAGAGGTCTTTTCCAACCTAATTGATTCTGTGACTGGCTTTTGTGCAGGGGTTTAAGGAACTGCTGGTCTGTCATCTAGTGGCTTTCTGATTTTGACTGTGTCAGGAGAAAAAATTTCAAAACTTTGGCAGTGGTACGAAACTGAGCACTTCCCCAGTTCTTACCAAGGTACCTATGGCAAAGAGCAGGTTTCTGTGGAGTCCTGTAGCTGTGCAGTCAGTGCTGCCTGTGTGCAAGCTACTGTTGCTGAGATGTTTGCAGGTGCGTTATTCTGCTTGTCAGAACTTATTGAGTATATTTGGGTTTGGTTTGTTGTTGGTTTTTTCTTTTGTTTGTTTTGGTTTGGGTTTTTTTTACAGGTCAAAAGAGAGTTTACTAGCTTTTGCAAAAAGAGGGCATGGAGAGTGTAAACACATGTTGGCAATGTTGCAGTTAAAATTTCTTCATGGTTAGTTTTTAGGTCATTATGGATGTCAGTGTTTGTGGAAAACTAATTTTCTATTTCCAGTTAGGAAGTGTAGCCCAGAAGGCTTGTTAGTGTGCTAGCTTATTGTGAAACTTACCTTTTTTAAATTTTTTTTCCAATTTAATGTTGAATTTTGTGTTTGTTTATTGGTTTTGGTTTTTTTTTTAGAGTACCAGAATTACCCTTGTAAAGATAAGAGGAAAGCGAGTGGTGTAGATCATGTTTATTAAAATGCGATCAGGTACTATTGCTGAAATTGATTTAAAGAATAAAAAAATAAATTATATTAGTTTCATGGTATTGGTCTGAGACAGATATTACTGGCACATTATCATGCATGAGTATTTTTAGGTACAGTACTTTTAGCAAGAACTGGGGGAGGAAAGGGGAAGAGGAGTTAAATGATTTTAGCAGTGCTGTAAAACTGCACGTTTTAGGCTCATGGTGGATTTCTTTTTCCTTAAACGCTGTAAATTTCATGTTTCATGTTCTCTGACACACTTTTTTGAACATGGTGCCCCAAGATTAGCCAGGACAATTAGCCGCTTTCATTAGTGGATGTTCCAGGGGAGTTGAGTGTGTAAGGAGCCTGTTGTCCAGAGGCGGAGCGTGCTGCAGCCAAGTCCAGGGACTGTGTGTGCCTGTGCTGCCATGCAGCAGGGAGGTTACATTGCTTTACGTTTAGTTTTGTGTGGAAGGTCTCCATAACTGCGCTCAGGCACGAGGACTGTTAGATGAGGGCTGCCCAGTGGTCCCTAAAACACACCGATCTGGTATGTAGCGTGCAGGTTTGCTGGTGCAACACGTTGAATCACCACAGGTGTGGGAGAGCCGTAGAATGAACCACAGGAGTGATGTATTTTGAGTATACAAAGGGCAAAGTCAGTGAATGTGGGCAATGCGGGCTGCTGGTTCTCCAAAAGCCGGTGGAAACTACAGATGCTCTTGCTGGGCTGGCTTGGGCTTAGTGGTGGCATGAAGAAAATGACTGAACATCTATGGTGCTACATTTGTGCTAACTAGTGTTTCTTTTTTGTCTGTGGTTCATGGAGGAGGTCAGTGGGTTACAACACTCGAACTGGAGGCCCCTGAAGGTTGGTCTGGGAGCCTCCTGATCATAGGTTCGGGAGTTCACGGGTGAGACTTTACTGCAGGTCAGGACAGAGGCAATTGTGTTAGTATGTACTAGGAAAGGAAATGATAAAAGCAGGATGATGGGTAACTTCAGATCTGCCTGTCACAATTTGTGTACTACAGCAGTGGGACACTTTGAGTCAGTAAGTGTTCACTTTGGGTTCCTGTATCTTTGTTCTATAAGCAAGCTATAGTGTATGAACTTACAGGGCTATTTCCTTGCAAGCTACATTTTCTGTGGTAATTTTGTCTTTACCCCGAGCTGACCTGCTGGGTATGGTATGGAAGAAAGCAGGGCTTATCTCAGCTTTGTGGCGTGATTGTGTGTAAGATGCAAATATTGTGCTTGGGGGAGAGCAAGTAGAAGTACCAGAAATGGCAAATACTGTATTTCAGCAACTTGATTAGTAAAGAAGGGAGACTGCCTTGGTTGGATGGGAAGTGCCATGAGAACTTAAGGGAGAAGGTAGAAGTTAAGTCTTAATTGAAGGCTTCTGTGCATACATCTGTGGGAACAGAAATACTAGACTGGGGAAAAATGTAGATTTTGGTCGTTTTGTTTTAGTAAAGCATTTCTGTGTTTTATATCTGTGAGAGGTTGCAGCAGTGACTCAGTCTGTAGAATGGATGGAGCCTGAGTGGTTGTCTGACCTTTTAGCCCTGCCCTGTGTACATCCAGATGTGGACATCTGACAACACAGAAGTTAAATGTTATTAAAGGTCATGAATTCTATGCTGGTCAGTGTTGCAGCAACACTAAAGCTAGCAGAAAGAAATGGGGCAGAGGGAGGGTAAATTAGCCTTTGCCAGAACTTGCTTCTTGTAAGGATTTGAATTTTTTTTTCATGTAAAAAAGGAGAATAAAATGAACTCTGGTTCTATGAATTTGTTGGTTGTATTGAAAGGTTTTTGTTATCAGTACATAGAATTAGCCGTCTATAATGAGCATGAAGACTTGGTTATTCTTGTTGCTTTAGAATTCATTATTGTATTTTCTTCAGGTTTCTGTTTGTTTTTTACTTTAGTTTGTTTGTGGGAGTTTTTCTGGATTTTGTGTTTTGGGGGTTTTGTTTGTTTTGTTTTGTGGGTTTTTTTGGTTTTGCGGGGGTTTTTTTTTGTTTGGGGTTTTTTTGTTAGGATTGTTTTGTTTTTTTAAAGAGTAGAGTTGTCTATGCTGGGTACCTTGACTTTTCGGGGCAGGCAGAGATTTTCTTTGAAAACAGCAAAGGACTATTCCATTAGTGTAGCTTAGTAGTGATCCAGTTGACAGTTTGCTTTCTTCTCTTATCTCTGTTATTCTAACTTCATGCTGTTCTTCCTCCTCAGTCTGTCTCCTGTGTTATTCTTTCTCAATTTGCAAATCGGTTATTAGTATTCTGCAGCAATTTGGGGGTTCAAGGTGTCAGAAAACACCATACTGTGCAGCCATGCTCTGTGCAGGACTGCTGGAGAGACTCTGGGTGTGGGAACGTGTGTTGTTGGTGGCAGCTTTTCTGGGGGGCTACAAGAGTCTTTTTTACATTCAAGACAATAGGTTGGTTTTATTTTATGAAAGTATTTGAATCCTAAAACTTACTTTCCTAATGATAGAAAGGGGAACAGATTGTGGATGTATAGTCTGGTTTTGAGATATTTGTTGTGGGGTAGAAATAGTGATAACTTTGTTTTATTCCAGGAAATCTATGTTTCCTTTCCACCCCAGCCACAAACCTTGGAAATGTTGGTTCTTGGCCAAATTCGGCCCTGAATATGCCTGTTTTTTCATTTACTCTACTTGAGGACACCAGCTTAGCCATGGAGTATGTTAGATAGAGCAGGCTGTGTGTTGGTTACCCTGCGGTGTCTTTGGTGTGGTCTTTTAATTCAACAGAAGGGATGTTTCTGTTTGTAAGTGAGCAGCAGTTATACTTGAAGCAAAGGGATTTAATTTAAATGGTGTTTCATGATGACACAATCATGCAGAACAAGTGCCTGGAGGCATCAAAACTGTTGAGATGCAAATCAAGCAGGCTTTTGCCAAGCAGCTCTGAACCTGTCTTTACCTTCCCAGTTTGTTCAGAGCATGTGTATCCTTTATTTTTATTACAACTTAAAGAAAAACCTTGCTTCTAATGAAAACACATGCAAAATGTATTGAGAAGTTTGTATAACGTGAAGGGAGAAAGAAATACAACCCAGCTTGTGTTTTAATGTCCTCTGTTCTGCTTTGCTGAAGGAATTCCTACCTCAGGACACTGAGGAGAAAAGGCAATAACTAACCTATGTCCTAGAATAACAGTTCCTACAAAATTATCATTAGTAATGAAGCATCTACAATACCTCTTCTCCATCTATTTGTGTCTTGCAAAGACTAATAAAGCTACTGATCTAACCTTAATATTAATTTCTCAGATTGGGAAAAGGGGGGACAGGATTTCCCAAAGCTATTATAAAGAACCTTGTGTTCTTCCTCCAGCTCCTAGACCAGTGCTTGGGATACATTTACTGTGTATCATTTCCCTTTCTTCTGGTTCTTGGGTTACAGGTCCATATAATTATTTCTTACTGAAAATAGGGTATTTTGGTTTCAAACTCTTTCTTTCTTTTTCAGGTGTTATTTTTGCACCATACGGTCCTGTCTGGAAGCAACAGAGGAAATTCTCTCTCTCAACACTACGTCATTTTGGAGTAGGAAGACACAGCTTAGAGCCTAAAATCATTGAGGAGCTGAACTTTATAAAGGAAGAAATGCTGAAACATGGGAAGGATTCATTTAATCCCTTTCCAATCATTCGCAATGCAGTGTCCAATGTTATCTGTTCCATGGCCTTTGGCAAGCGTTTCAACTATGAAGACGTTGAGTTCAAGACGATGCTGAAGAACATGGCCCGTGCACTGGAGCTGAGCGTGAACAGCTACATGATCCTGGTCAACATCTGCCCTTGGCTCTACTACCTTCCCTTCGGGCCTTTCCGTGAGCTTCGGCAAACAGAGTTAGATATCACTGCTTTTCTGAAGAAAATAATTGCACAGCACAGGGACACGCTGGATGCAGCAAATCCCAGGGACTTCATTGATATGTACTTCATCCATGCGGAAGAGGAAAAGAACAAGGAGAGCAGTTTTAATGATGACTACCTATTTTTTATCATTGGCGACCTCTTCATTGCAGGCACAGATACTACTTCCAACACGTTACTGTGGTGCCTCCTCTACATGGCTCTTTACCCAGAAGTACAAGGTAAGACTAGTTTTATTCTAGGTGATTTATTCCAAACTGTAAAGCTCTAGATGGATGCTCAGAAACAGAAGCGAACAGCGACAGTGCAGAAATCATTTGAAGTGCAAACAGTATGTGCGTATGTGCAATTTGAAAGGCTGATATGTAATAAGACATCTTCTATCCTGCTGTGCTTTGCAAACCTCTAGGTTAGTGTTATATATTAAGTACTAAATGGCCTTTTAATCTGGGCATTTCTTCTCTTTTGGGGCAACTTTATCTTTCCCATGTAATTCCAGGGAACTTTAGCATGCTTGAAAAACTTTGGTAGTTGTGGCGTTCCAGGCATATAGCAGTGATACAAGATGTATAAGATCCATAGTGGTAAGGTCTGCTTTTATGCCTTCCTGAGCAGGGAGGTTGTTGAGCCTACTGGCAGAGCCTGGGGAAGTGAAACACTACCTGCTGTAGAGGAAGATCAGGTCAGAGATGGTTTAAGCACAAGTGCAAAGCACCAGCTGGTCAGTGTCTTTGGACAGGCCCCTCCACAAGTCTTGAGTGATTGTGTTAGTGGTGAACCATGGGTAGATGGTTGATGATGGCAGGGGGCGGGAGGGGAAGACACATGGAACATGTGACCCCCAAGAAGTGGCAAAAGGAGTTGGTCTTGCTCGTTATTAGAGAAAGATGACTGAGGGGAAACCTTATGCTGTCTACAGCTATCTGATTGGAAGATGCTAAGAAGATGGGGGCAATCTCCTCTGAGGTGTGCAGTGGAAGGGAGAGAAGCAGTGGAGACACTCTACAACAAGAAAATTCTAATCAGATACTAGGAAAAAAAATTGCCCTGTTGAAGATGGCAAAGGAGTGCATCAGATTGCCCTGAGAGTTAATAGAATCTCTGACTTTAAAAGTATTCAAAACTCAGTGAGTTATGACCCTGAGTAGCCTCATCTACCCTCAGAGTCTGATCTGTCTGGAATAATCACTGTTAAATAGGTCAAGATCATAGTTTATTGCATGAAGTCAACCAGTTTGTTGACCAAAGATTGCACAATGGGACATGAGTTCAATACATGAGAGAGGGAGTCCTCTGGGGACAACTGCAAAACAAACTTTTATTGCGTAGGCTTAGTCTTCTATTTTTGATGTCTGTGTGTTATCACTGCTTGAGTTGGTATGCAGTTAGATGAATTAGATATATTCTAAATTAGACAAATGAGATCTGGAAGAGAGTTGTGTTAGTTTGGGTTTTTTAACCTCTTTCCCACCTGTGTGTTATTGTGTGTGTATGTGCTGGTCAGTTTTCCCTCTTCTGCTGATCACTAACTGTTTTATTGCTTCTCTCCAATTCCACCTTTCCTTATGCTGTGGCTGTTGTCAAGTAATCTAAATAAGCTCTGTAGTCCAGAGTGTATCACTTAGCTATGAAAAGGGATTCTCTTACTTCTAGTATCCCATTCCTTATGTATCCTGATTGCTTTGGAGTAAGGTAGGGGCCTCGTTTTTTGACCCTGGTAATGTATTTCTCTTAAACATATTGACATATTTTTTCCCTAAAGAAAATACCTGAATTTTTTAACTTTTAGCAGTTGCAAATGTTGCTTGCAAACATGGAAAGCCAAACTAAGGGCTATCAGGGGAAAAAAAACTGGATCCATAGAATCATAGAATTAACTGGGTTGGAAGAGACCTCTGAGATCAAGTCCAACCCTTCATCCAACCCCGCTGTGATTACTAGATCATGGCACTCAGTGCCATATCCAGCCTCATCTTAAAAACCTCCAGGGATGGTGAATCCACCACCTCTCTGGGCAGGCCACAGTAGCCTTTTTCTCTTTGGAAACCATTTTTGCTTTTTATATGTTAAAAGAAAAGGATGGGTGTGAGACAATGTGGTGAGGCCATGCGGAGTATTTGGTTTGTTCTGTTCCCTGACTTTGTTTTTATCTTTAACTTCTGAAGATCCGTGAGATTTTTAAATATGTGAAAAGTTGTGGAGCAGTTCAAATATCATGCTGTTAGTGGAGAAATGATCGAGTTTGTATTTTTGCACTTAATAATGTGAGCAGCAGTTTGACTGCTTTCTGTGTAGTTCAGCATTTCTTTACAAACTGAACAAATGACTTGTTTGAGATGAAGCATTGATGTGACATTTGGCATGAGACAGTCTCCTTTATTTTTTTTTATGTTGAAAACTGTTTAAATTACTGTGCATTCCTGAATACTGGGTTATGGTGTGTCACTAATAAAAGTAGCAAACCCTCACAAAGAAGATTCTGGAGAGCCATGCCATCAGCAGCACATCTCTTGCTGTATTTTTTAATGTTCCTTATACCTGAACTCTTTTACTAGCGAAACCATTAGGTGGCAGCAGCGGCTCATTGGATCCAGTTCAGGCAGCAATTCTGGATGTTGCTTGAGAAACTGGGACACTTTTTTTTTGTGTTGAGCTTTCATTTAATCTTGTATCACTGCTAAGTAGAGAAAAGTGCAAAAACTCAAGAGTATCAGCAGCTTGGTTGGAAAAGGCAGGAAGGACAACCACAAACTATTCAGGATACAAAAGGTAAAAGTTGAAAACTGACTGTTATTGGTTTTGATTAAAGGTTAGTTTTCAGATTTCCTCTTTCAAGATTGTCTTTTGCTGTGTAGCCAGATTCCAAGTTACCTGGAAGAGAAGGCACATCATCCTGTATGTACAGAGGTGAAGCAGATCTTTAATCTTGGAAACTTCCGTGAAGAGAACTACTTGTATGCTGAGTCTTTTGAGAGATGAAAGGAGCAAACAAATATTTTGACACTTTATGCTTCCTGTGAATAAGAAGGGAAATTTGCTTGTTTTTTTTTCCTTTGCAGAAGGGCTGTGTGGGGAAGGAGCATCTGCTGCTGCCGCCTTTTGGGGGAACTGGGAAATAGCTGAGTTTAGGTTCTGTGAATAGAAAGTAAGAAGTGGCAAGAACAAGTTAAATGGCTTCTACATTTGCAGTAACAGCACCAGAATTCCTGCTCCAGAATGAAGTATCTAAAGCAGCTGCATGAAAAGCTTTCCAGTCTCTTCATGTGCAGGCACACACTGTACACACTTCTCTTTTTGTTCAAGTTTTTTAATGCATGGAAGAAGCTTGATCTTTTCAGCGTTCAAATTACTGTATATATATATATGTATATACATATATATAATTAATGTCTTAAAGTTAAGATTATGAATACATTTGGAATTGCAACAGAACTTTTCCTGTACTCTTCCAATGCAGAAGTGCTAGCAATGTCTGTCATCTCAGTAGCTTTACTTTTGACAGTTGTGCTTGGTTGCTTTCTTCTTAACTGAGCCCGTTCTAAAGATTATGCTGGCATAGTTATTTCAGCTAGGGATCACATCTTAAAGTAATTTCTGAGAAACCTATGTAAACAACGAAGCATAGACAAATGATATTGGGAAGATGTCTCCTGACATGTTGTGCATCTTTTGAATTTTTTATTTTTCTTGCTCCCTTTGAATAGAGAAGGTTCATGCAGAAGTTGAAGCAGTTCTAGGACATGACAAAGTCCCCTCGCTTGCTCACAAGGCTCAGATGCCCTTCACAGAGGCAACCATTATGGAAGTGCAGAGGATGACTGCAGTTGTTCCCCTCTCTATTCCTCGAATGGCCTCAGCAACTGCTCGTAAGTGTTTCTAGAGACTTATTACTACAGTATTTCTTTGGGGCATGAAGATCTGACGGGTCATCTAGTGATAGTTTACGAAGACCTCATTTATGTGATAGACCTGTAACCCAAGTATGTAAAAAGTATGTTTTTGGAGAGTAGGTGACCTCAAGATACTCCTTTATTTAAGCAGCAAGTCTGACCTAACATCCTGATTTGGAGCAATTTCTTTTATGTGGGTCAGCCTGTACTGACTGATGTGCTTAATCATAGCTGGCAGCTGAGACTCCACCTTTGTACCTGAAACAGTTGTTTTTGGCATTCTGACACAGAGGTCTGAAAACATCAATTTAGAGCAGTTGATTGGTTAAAGGCTTATACCATTGACCTCCACATGTTTTTCCAGTTTATCTGTAGCTGAGCACTGGCTAAAGCCACTGTAAGATAGCCATACTCAGCTTACAAACCCAGTACTGAATTGATCTTTTTTGCTTGTTTTGGCTTCAGGACAGTGAGGTGCAACAAGCTGAAATGTGACTAGTGATTTCAAAACCCTCTTGTGACAACAGTTCAAAACCTGTCCCTTGACTGTTCTGGGGCTCTGTGACAGCACAGGAGTAAGAGGAAACTGGGTCACAGCACTTGCATGCTGCAGAGTTCATTTCTTACAGTTGCTGCTGCTTTTTCTCCGCAGGAGGCTGTTGGTGTAACTTGATGTCTTTCCAGCTGCTCAGGCCTGTGTGATTCTGACTCTAAAACAGGGTAGCAAAGATCACCTTTGCCTTAAGCTTTTGCTACATTTGCAACCCACTGCTAGGGGTGGATACAATTTTTTATGACATCCTCTAGTTTTCTTTTTAGTGATATGTTTCCCATGTTTACTTCTAGCAACTTATCAGATCTCTGTCTTTGTGCTTTCGTTTCAAGTGCTACAGGGATATACCATTCCTAAGGGCAGTGTGATTGTACCCAACCTGTGGTCAGTACACAGAGATCCTAACATTTGGGAGAAACCAGATGAATTTCAACCATCAAGATTTCTGGATGAAAATGGGCAGCTAATTAAGAAAGAGTCATTCATTCCTTTTGGAATGGGTAAGATAATCCACATGCAGTCATTAGGTGCTTAGTGGGGGTGGTGTTTCAAGTTTAGGGAGGTGTGAGATGTAAAAAATGCACATAGGACCAACTATAGAACTTGTTTTATTACAGTTGGTGACTTGCAAAATGGGTTGGGTTCCTAAAGTCTCCAGTTGCCAGGCAGAAAGAATGAATTGTCCTTTGCTAATACTTTTGTTGTGGGTGTAAGTGCTGTTAATAAGAAGTAATACTGCTGAGCCAGGCTTAGAAGAAGCTTCAGAGTTCACAGCTTAATAGTAGCTTAAGCCTTTCTGTGTTTGGACTGTGGTAGCACAGGAATTACATGTGTGTTAACAAAGGGATCAACTGTATAAAGTCAGTAACATATCTCTTCAAACTGTCCTTCAGGTAAACGTGTGTGCATGGGAGAGCAGTTGGCAAAAATGGAGCTGTTCCTGATTTTCACAAGTCTAATGCAAAGTTTTACCTTTTTGTACCCTGAAAATGCTGCAAAACCATCCATGGAGGGAAGGTTTGGTCTAACTTTGGCTCCGTGTCCATTCAACATAATAGCTGTGAAGAAATGATTTAACATCAAAAAAGATTTAGCAAAGAAATACTGCACTTTTAATATCCAGCTTTTTTTTGTTTCCATCTTTTGCTTCTTTTTTCTCAGGAAAACACCAACTACATACACTTTCATAGTCAGTGATCAATCCATTTAGACTTCTGGAAAGAGAAGACTTTCTTTGTCAGCTGTTGCATTCCACAAACAAACTGACAGCATAGTTTTCAGTTTGATATTAAAACTCGCTGGGCTTAAACCCTGTCTATAAGCTACTGCTGTCAGTTTGTCAAATGTTAATTTTGGGAGAATGGTCCAAAACATCTGTTAATGCTTTAGCAGATAGTAATTGTAAAAAAGCGGCACATAAACAGTTAATTTACCAAAGGAGGGAAGGACATCGTGTAATATCAAAAGGATTCACAAATGACAGGATGTTAGCATTTTCTGTGTAAAGAAACATTGTAATTGAGCTTAAATAATGACATCCACTTTTTGGAAACTACTAAATGACACTTCTATTAACCTTAGAGGATTCTTTCTTGCAAGTAACTGATTTGTGTAGATAGGATCGAATCAGTCTGGATTCCTGTATTCAAACGTTCTTGACTATCAGGGCTCACTAAAAACCCTGAGTCTGAGGCCAAAAGAATGTTTGAATATGCCATGTTCTCAACATGAAACAAGTGTGCAGCATATGGATGCAGATGTTTTATTTCAGCATATAAATGAGAGCAGAATTCTCTAACAAGAAACAGCAGAAGTCTGTTCTCTCTGGTGCCATACAGATATTCAAGATGACATCTGTGCTGCCTCTTGGTCCTGGACTCGGGGCTTGCACTCAAGTTTTTCACTCACTGGCAGTGTGGACAGCACTGCCACAATCTCTTTGGCTTTGGGAACTGGACTCTTCAAATATGGCATCACAGTGGCATCAGAGGTGAGGGTCTTATACGTTTGCCATGGAACAGGAGGAATCTGACAAACTTGAGGTTTGAATATAACATCTTTCTCTTTGTTATCTTCCACATGGAGTACAAATACCTGGTTCATACAATACTACTGTACCTTACTCTTTACATATGCAGAATCTTTGTGCTGTTACCCACTGTCACACCAACGGCCAAGGAAACCTCATGTTAGGTGTTTCAGAACAGGGCAGTCAAGTCTTGCCTTGTATTTGAAAGATCTTTTAAACATGTAAAGTGATCTTTTGGGGGTATATGTAACAATTAACCTTTAATTATTCTTAATTATTATTAAAGCACTCTATACTCCTTTTGATCTAGCAGAATTTGCTATCACATGAATTAAGTTCAGATATATTCTTTTAAAGGAAGTTTTCTCTCTGTCACTGGAGATCCAGAGAATACCAGGAGTCTTCCTAATGTCAAGTTTACAAGACTGGAATGTTAATTTGACTGTAATTTAGAATTAGGTATTCCGTGGCAGAAACTAAACCTAAATTGTAAAAGAAGAATCAAGTTTTCAGCTTTAAATTAATGTCTGGTTTTGTCACTTTTAAACTTGAAATTTTATAAGCCAGATAGTGCCTAACAAAGACTGTAAGATAGTTATTTCGGATTTAAATTAAGGTTTTCTGTTACCTGCTTTGAATAACAGGGTGCCTTAATTTCTGAATTATGTATTTGATTGGTCAGGTATCCCACTGTTTGTGTGAGAACTTCCAGTTCTTATGTAGGCTAACTTTGGACTTCATAAGCGTCTGTTAAATTTTTTATTTGTATGAAATTTTTGAAAACTTAGCACGATAAAAAGTTGAGTTTGATACCTATGCTAGTGAACTTGCTCTTAATAAACTGACAGTATTGGAGAATTAAGCACTTGTTTCTTTAATTTTGTATTTTTCAATGAATAAACAGTCTCTGGAGAGCTGGGATTTTTGTCTGAAAAGTCCTTAAAATAGCATATGCATGATTGAGAAGCTAAAATGTAGTGCTGATAATATTTCTCTTTCTGTTGAAATGCCTTTTAAGCAACATCATGATGTTGGTGTGCAACTGATGGCTTATACAAAATATCTGTCCTTTTGATCAATGAGGACACATTTGAAAAGCACTTTAGTATTTTATTTTTACATCTTCCAAAGAAAACACAATTTGCACAATCCCCTAGTATGTGAAATTGTACATATTTGTGCTTGTTTTGCCTGCTGAGTTTAGTTTAAAATGTCACCTTTGAAAACTGTCCTTCGAAAATTATTCTGCAAATAGTACCTTGAGAATGTGGTTTTTGGTGATACCTGTAATCAAATGCTGCATTGTGCCACAAGCTAAAATACTGATGTGAAGGTTCAATCATGTCAATGTCTGTCAAAATGCAAGATGCTGTTAGAAATGACAATAAAGTCCTGCCTTTCATGCCTTCCAGATGCACTGAAATTTTTACAGGATGCCATCAAAGTAGCTAAACAGTAGCATAAAAGCAACAAAATCTTTGTGGTTTTCAAAGTGTATTTCCATATTTGGCAAACTAAGTAAAATGGTAACAGATTTGGTTTGCGTTTGTAAATGTATCCTCCCCCTCTCTTTTTTAGCAGAGGAAGCATATCAAATGCCTTGTTGAAAAATGTATAAAGTGGGTGGCTATTTCTGAATGCTGAAAATATCTTTATGTCTAAAAATTACTTCAGACTTTGCTTCAATGTATTTTTATTTTTAATAAAGTAATTCTCAAGTAAGTGTTTGACAGCTTTGCGTGGTCCTTTCAATGAGTTCCACTTACTAAGCTCGTGGTGTTTGGCATCTTACAACGGAAGTTTTTGAGTGAGAAAATGTTACAAAATGTTTTTGGATGAGGAGTGAAGGAGGTGGGGGAACAAAGTGAAATTGGAAAAATACAGTGCCAGGCACGTTATGATCAAATGGTACAAAGAATGTTTTAAAAACACTCACATGGAATAAAAAGAGAGGGAAGGGCAGAGGTGAGGAAGATAAAAGGGCAAATGATTTGTCACCAGGAGGAGATGCTCAGTCTGCAAGAAAGAAAATCTAGGGCAAAAGTTGAGGTGTAGCTTTGTAGGACTCCTGGCATAGAGAAACATGGAGGGCAGAGAAGCAAAGGGGTCTCTGTGAGGAGCCTGGGGTGGAGGACAGAGAGCTGGGGCCTCTGGGCCAGAAGAGGCCCAGTGGGAGGGAGGAGATCATTTTATATGGAAGGAGAGAGCTGAGAGCAAACAGCTTGTGGAGAAGAACAGCTTGTGGGTATGAGC